GATCAAAAGTATCAAACAAAGTTATACACATATATTTACAAAAAGGGATCATGCCTCATATCAAGCATGTCATCGCTTTATGCAACACTCATAACATTGTTACCGTACTGGCGCTTACTTTCAAGCTGTACATTATAACAAAGTTGCAAAAGAAACGATATATGACATCCTGATAAAAAAAAAAAACGTATCAACTCCAGGCATCATTACGCCTCAGAAGTATACAAACTATCTCTCACAACAGCTACTTCACATTGGTAGCTCAAATTGTGACCAATACCCATTAGTAATTAGCACTACGAGAAAAGTGTACTAAGCTCTTGCAGTTAAAAAAACTGAAGCAAAATAGACACACTCGTACCAACGCATAATTATAATGATATTAAAAACAAAACACACCAATAGCACATCGATATCGCAAATCGTAATAAACAACAAAAAAAACTACTTTCATGCAACTGTAAGGAATATACAGGTCTATGTGAAAAGTACTAAAATAACTAACTTGTCGCATGCATTAACATATGTACATCTCAGAATCATTGCTTTTAAACAAAAAAAAAACTTTAACAGTCAATTAAGAGCGATGGGACAGCTTCACTGACTTTGGCATGGCGTGAATTTACGCAAGAAACCTCTGCAGGTACGGCCAGCTCTTGACTCCCTGTGGCTCGACCTTCGGTATTAGAGGAATTAAGTCCTGTAGGTAACGAACGATTTCCAAACATCGTGTTTCTTATAATTAGGTTTAGAAAATGGTTGGGTGGATAGTCATTTTGAAGAACGGGGAACGTTTCGGTCCCGGATCCATTGGTACAATTTGCACGATCCTGCGGTAAATCCTCATCAAGGGAACGAAACGAAAAGTGCAAGGATACGGGGACATGCATATCGACCACGACTGAGCACAGAAATTCAGCAAATGGTTGGACAGTCATTTTTGAGAACAGGGAAAGCTTCGAAGTCGGGGCCTGGTCCATTTACATCATCCTGTTGGGAATCCTCATCCACGGAACGAAAGGAAAAATACGTGGATAGTGGGACATAAATACTGAACATGACTGAGCACATAAGTTCAGAAAATGCGGGTTGTAGCGCTTCTGTAAAACTGAATTTTACAATTTCCCCATGAATCTCGGCACCACTATAAATTGGTAAAATCTCCGAGAATCGAATAATCCAATGAAGATGATGAACGATGTTGAGTTGGTTTATCTCCAAAGTTTCCTGACATTTTCAGTAATATTTGAATAAAGTGAACACAATCCAAAATGTTCAAAGTTTTTATACAGGATACCGTCGTCCAAAAAATTTAGATTCTCCACCATGTAATAATTATATTGTTTTGAAATGATAATTCCTGGTTAAAGTTTAGAATTTATTCAAGTCCAAAAGTACAAAATCAAAATTCACATTTTTACACAAAAATTCCTAAAGTGAGAGTGAATTACAAACAAACTCAGGCACGTCTCATCTTTGACTTTGAGAGGGGCGAGAGACGTCCTAGGGAGTTTTGGTATAAAATTACATTGCATAAGCTCAAAATCTTCTTGAAATTTCGCCCGGAAATGATAATGTTACACATAGACAGAATGTATAAATTTACGACCTTGAACTTTGACCTTTTGACCTCAAAATCAATAGGGGTCTTCATTAGGCCACAGGGAGTTGTTACGTAAAATTTCATTGAAATAGCTCAAATGGTTCTAGAGATATCGTGTGGAAACGAAAGTGTTTTAACAGACAGAATTTGCTTATTTATGACCTTGACCTTTGACCTTTTGACCTCAAAATCAATAGGGGTCTTCTTTAGTCCATAGGGAGTTGCTATGCTAAATTTCATTGCAAAAGCTCAAAGGGTTCTCGAGATATCGTGTGGAAACGAAAGCGTTACAGACAGACAGAAAGACGGACGGACGGACGGACAAACCCAAATTAATATCCCCCACTTTTCAAGCGGGGGACAATAATACGGTCATCAAAACATGTCAGTCCACCTCATCGGTTGAGATTTTAAAAAATCACCCATGATTTCTGTATTCTATTTATTAAAACTACATTGTATAATTATTAATTTTGGAGGGGAAAGGGGGGGGGGCAAAAACTTTTTTGACATGTACCTAAGAATAAGCCCCAGTGGTCCAAACAACTGAACACGTCCTGGCCAGCCAGTGGACCGATCGTATACTAGGTCACACCCTTGTCAGAAACTTAATCATAAAGGGTCCAACGAGTCTGATCTATGACTTAGTAACAGTGTACAGAAAAAAAAACAAAAATGACTAAGCATGGTTTTACGATTGATAAACTTGAATAAATTACATGTAATTGTAAACTACTTTTAAAATAAACTAGTGCTAATTGTAACGGGGACCGTTACAGATGTTCCCCAAATGCTCCCCAAATCCCTTTTTGCGCCTAATTCCTGTAAGACATTTTACAAAATATGATCAGTATCGAAGGATTTCATCAAAGAATTATAAAAGGTATAATGATATCAACTATATGTCATTTAACGCATTGTACGCGCACGCACGTGCATGTACATGCAAGATGATCATAGCATGTTGTCTAAACAATTAGCATATCTATATATCGTGAGAATAAATAAAAAAATCTTTACAATATAAATTTTAATGTTTTTTAAAAATATTGGTCCTTTTGCGTATTTCGCGCGCGCACTTGCATGAAAGAATGTTCGTGCATTCAATTTTGATAGTACCATTATGTAGGAATCCATGATACCTATTCATATTCTAAATTTTATCCCGTTTCGTTGAAAACTAAGAAAGTTATAGACAATTAAAATATCAGCCAATCAGATTGCAGCACACGTGCATGTGCATGCTTTTCATGATATTTCTTATATACCATGCTGTAGATCTTTATAATGTATAACCATGTTCAAAATTTCAAAGGATTTTGTCGAAAAACAAGAAAGATACTGAGACTTTAGTTTCAGCCAATCAGAGCGAAACGCACGTGCATGCGCGTAAGTTCTTACTATTTTGACCATGTCATCTAATCTATGCTTCTGATATATCTTTATATTATAACTTTCAAAACATTTCATAAAAAAATTAAATAGTTACGTTTATATCAATTATATTGGACATTTCTAGTGTTGCACGTGCGCGCTCTTGCAAGCACACGTGCATGCACATTCTTTCATGACAATTCTTTTATACCAGGCTTTAGATCTCCCTAATGTATGACTATATTCAAAATTTCAAATGATTTTATCAAAAAACAAGAAAGATATCGAGACTTTAGTTTCAGCCAATCAGAGCGAAGCGCACGTGCATGCGCGTGAGATCTTGCAATTTTGAGCATGTCATCTTGTCTATGCTACTAATATATCCTTATATTATGAGTTTCAAAACATTTTATTTAAAATTTAAAAAGTTACGGCAATATTCATTATATTGGTCATTTCACGCGTTGCACGTGCACGCTCTTGCAAGCTCGTGCGCGCAAAATGACCTTCGTTCCGCAAATCTACATAACATGCCTACTGACCCTAAAAAGGTTTCACCTTAGTCAGATGTGTAGTTTACAAGATCATTCGCGGAAAAGATTTTCCCAGGAAGAAGAAAAATAATAATAATAATAATAAGAAACAGAGTAAAAACAATATGTTCCCCAACTTCGTTTGGGGAACATAACTACATGTATAAGGAGTTTATATGTAAAATCTCCAAATCACTCCTTATGCCTCCAAATAATTACAAGATAATACAGGTAAAATCCCTTTCATTGTGGCCCTATTCTACCCCTGAGTGACTGATCTACTATCAATACCTGACAATGCTTCCACATTTTGAACAGTCAAGGCTTTGCTGTTCTTACCATGAATATTTTTTAAAATGTTATTCTTAAAAGTATAACTTTGATCCCCCATTGTGGCATTACCCCAACTCAAATGGGTGGGGTTCATGATTTGAACAAACTTCAATCTATACAACCGGAATATGCTTCCACATAAGTTTCATATTTTCTTGCCAAGTGGGATTTTTAGAAGATGCTATTAATTTTCACAATGATCTCCCCTTAGTAGGAGGTGTGGCCCTCCATTTATTTAAGATTTAACAACTGTTTTGCAATAAAAACTGTAGAAATAAGATGTGTTTGTGAAATACTGATGCCCCCGTATGGCAGCTTATGACAAGGGTTGAAGTTTCTCAAATGCAAATCAAAAAAGTCCAAATTAAAGGTCAAGGTCAAAATTGTTGGTAACCCAAAAAGTTCTTGTCACAGGGAATACATCTGTGGAATATAAAAGTCCTATTTCTACCTGTTCGAAAGTTATGACCAAGGTAAAAGTTTTTTAAAAGTGGATCAAACTCTCAAGGTCAAAAATATATACATTCTGCATACCTAATGAAAGATCTTGCCACAACGAATACACATATGAAGTATGAAAGCCCAAACACCAATAGTTCAAAAGTTATGTCCAAGATTAGTTTGGAATTTTTTTGTAAAACTGGGTCAAAATTCAAGGTTAAGGTCAAGAGGTTAAAATTTGTAGTACCCAAAGAAAGACCTTTCTTTGGGTACCACAAAATTTGAACTCTTGACCTTGGAGTTTGAACCACTTTTACAAAATATTATCACATGTTAACCTTGGTCATAACTTTTGAACAGTTGGTGCCAGGGCTTTCAAACTTCACATGATTGTGTATTCACTGTGACAAGACCTTTCAGTAAGTATAAATATTTTTTTACCTTTTGACCTTGGAGTTTGATCTAGCCATAATTTTTTAACAATTAGAACTAGGGCTTTCATTTTTTCACATTGTATTCCTTGTAACAAGGCCTTTCTTTGGGTACCAACAATTCTGACCTTGACCTTCAGAGTTTGACATGCATTTGAGAAACTTAAACCCTCACCATAAGCTGCCGTACAGGGCATTCGAGTTTCACAAACATTGTTTTTTTTTTTTGAGAGACAAATTATTTGCAACAGTTGTAAGGTATGAAACACAAAATAGAAGAGATGCTAGTGTTTTCTTTTATCCTGTATTTTCCCTCAATGTTTTGTTCACATAGCTAATGCTTAAAACATTTTAGGTTTATTACAGCAGATCCCACATAATAAACATTATATAAGTACTATGATGTTTTAACACAATAGTGATGCATATTCTCCAGAAACCAAAGTCAGATCTAACAACATAATCAGTTTTATCTGAGCCAAGATATAAATAACCTCTAAACGTATTCAATACCCAAGGAAATGTACATCAAAGAAATGAAAAAAAAAAAATCTGAAATGACTACATAGTTGACTGGCTATATTATAACGTAAAATAGATAGTGCACTGTCCAGATTTTGTGTGGTTTTTCTGATTGTCAAACAACCCTGATGGTTCACCTGACTTTGTGAAATACAAATATTAACGTACCGAGATAATGATTGTTCTTTTACAAAAGCTTTCCAACTGGATAAAAAACATGCGATATCCTTTGCCAACTTACTACTGTACAGAGGAAAATTTTCACCCCCATTTTATTTTTGCCCTCATTGTGAATAGGCGAATTCTACGTTATATTGGTAGCTAATAGAAAACTTTCTGGGGGAATTTAAAATGGGGGAAAAATTGTTTGCAAATGTGAAAGGGCGAAAATAACAGTGAGCAAAAATAAACCTGTATACAGTATATAAAATGCATCTAAATTTTCTTAAATTTCCATTTCAGACTAGATTTAGTTACTTCATAAGTTTTGATGAATATGACTAAGCATGGTGATCTGTTGTCATAAGATTGTCTTACTATTAAAAAAAATCTTTTTACAGGATATCTAACAAACATTCTCAAATTCTCCAAAAAATATGTAAGCTCTAGTAAGCCATAAAATCTTATACATGTATTCATATAATGTATGAATTTATTGTGAATAATCCTCTAGAACAAAATAGTCATATAAAACAAAGAAACATCAAAGCTGTCATGTTTAAATCGTAGGTGTAAGGTTTTTTTTGTGAAAAGGTCTATTCAGATCAATAACATTTTGATGTAATATATCAAAGAATTTTATGGTGTGATAAATTTACATAATTTTATCAGGTACATCATACTTTTCTTCATGCATACAAAGGACTTCCATCTCCTTTAATATTAGAAATTTCCATTTTTTCACTTTTTTTGTGAACTTTAACACCTTTTGTTTTCTTTTATGAATCAGTTCTGAAATTCCTATTCAAGAGAAAAGAAGCTGCAGACCTAACAGAAAACAGATTATGCAAATTGTTTGTAAAATATTTGGTTTTCTTAATAATAAGATCTAACAAAAGAATGTAGGAAATAATAAAAGTCTGTCAAAATTCAAAGAAAAGGACAAAAAAGAAATAAGTAAAATACACATATAAAAAACAATAATGGGTAAAATAACAGATACAAATAATCAAGTACATATCCTGTATGTAGTAAAATGAAACAAAAGTAACATAAATTAATCCCAAAAAATCAACAGCATAGGTTACATTGTCTACATAAGTCTGCTCAAAAACCATAATATTAATGTTAAATGCCACAAATTATCTTAACATTATATAATAATATACCGGTTATTAAAATTAAATGACAATTACATTGAATTCTAGACAAATACTGATAGGTGAATCCAGACACTGAATCATTCTTCACAGGCCAGTTCTATTGTCCAAGCTCCATAATGACATCAAATCACAATATAATCAGTGTTTTCTACAGTAATTTACATATTGCAGAGTTTTTGATTATTCATTTTTGGTCCCCCACATTGGCATTAGAAATGTGACCTTGACCTTTGAACTTAAACTCTTTGTGACCAACTGTTTTTCTTCCTAAAATGTATATGTCTTCAATAACCCCCTGGGGTGATCAACCTGAAAATTAACAAGAGACTGATTATGAACAGCGTATTTCTGAAGACTCATGTATTAAATATACACTAGTTCCTAGCTACTGAGCAAGCAATGGCTATGATGTTCTATATGCTTTTTCATCAAACTATTGAATTTGTTCCTTACAACAGTATATGGACATGCTATTAATGACTAAACTTAACTGTGTGTTATTTAAAATTAACCCCTTTATCTGTAGCAGGCAGTCTAGCTAGGTCTTATAACATATTGCAAAAGCCCTGTAGCATGTAACATAGACAAAAATAGCAGAGGTCAAATGAATACAGTATTTAACGATTGGAAAAAGAGGCTTTATTGACAATGAATGGAAATAAAAATCATCATTGCTGAGCATGTCTGATCCTCACCATTCACAGGTTTTTTTAATGAAAAATTTCTAAATTATGCTAGCCAAGCATTTTTCTTCAACATTTTAATTAAAGTAAGGTCATGCCATATTAACATGCATATGGATTTTGATTTAAAAAAAAAAATTGAAATTTTCCCTCGCTAAGAAAGACAGAAATGTTTCCAAAGATTTGACAATTTTTTTTTTTTTTTAATGAAGCACTTAATGAGATGGTTTACGCTAAATACACTCGTAATCGACGTGCTGTGTACCTTTTCATCTCGTTCATTCCACAGTCACACTTTTAGCGAGGTTCCTCGGACAGTCCACCTGTAGTATCAAAAATGTTTAATGCAAAATTGATTCAACTTTTCATTTTAAATAAAAAATTATTTAAAAAGTGATTATTTATCTTTTACTGAAGTTCAGTTTATTATTAATTTTTTTTTTCAGTCAGTAAAATGTATATTGAAATAATGTGTTGATTTTGTCTGAAAACAATGTTAATTTAAAGCTCATCCTCATTTTATTTGTGACTTTAATTAAATCAAGAGGTTACCTTCTTATACTTTCTGAGACTGGGTGTTAGAGAAGGCGATATTTAGATGAACTTCAATTAATTCCCTTAGTAAAGGACAAGACTCTACTGACCTAGGTTCTTTGCTTGAGGTAGGTTTGATTAAAATTAGACAGTTGTTCTAATGATAAACTTAACCATGTGACACAGGCCTTAACCTTTCTTTTCATAAATAAAAACATCCCTTATTATAATATATGGGATATTTTTATTTATGAAAAGAAAGGTTTAAAACGTCAAGTGCCTGTGCACCAAAGGAAAGACAAAGCAATTGAAGTAGAAAAAAAAAGTTAATTCGTTAATGTTAACAGACTTTTCTTTAATTGTATATATGTTTTTTATTGCTAAATAAAATGAATAAAAATAACTTTTCATATATTTTTTTTATTTTTTATATATATAAATTAACCTATGGAAACCGAATTTGATTTATTCACTCTGCACATTTAGTTATCCAAAATGCCTAAGTAAGAACATGAATGTGTGAATTATATTTGTCTTGTCCAAACATGTTTACTTTATAAATAACCCACTATAGTACATGTAAGTGAAAGAGTGTGAGAACAATATAAAATCATAAAGTTAAAATTAATATCACATCAATACAAAACACTCATTGATTATTGATATGTGTGCTTGTAAAACATACATGTAATTCTTAAAATACATGTGATTTATGGGATTTTATAATGGCCTAGCACCTAATTAGATTAACAACAATTCAAATATATATATTTATGACTATACTTAAATTGTCAAATAGATGTAATCTTGCATGTTAACCATTTTCTTAATGTTCGTTCATATCACAGTGCTTTTGTATTATATTGGCTATTGAGGGAATACAAAATTTATGAGTGCTTTGAGTTGCCTTTAAAGAAGAATTCGGATTATTCCTCATCCAATTTTAAATTCCATCACCCACTATCACCAATAAAGCACCAGGGTAGGCATACAGCTGCTAAACCCAGTATGTACTAGCTCTGATTAATGATACATGTATACCTAGCTCCCTATAGGTACCAAGGGGCCTATCATTACTTAAGTTACCTTTGTAATGTATTAGAAAAGTAAGCTGAATAAAGTAACGTAAAACCATTTCTAAGCTTAACCCATAATAAAAAAGAAACATTTGGTGAAATGTGCATGTGTGGAAGGGAAAGAGAAAAATGTTGTGAGAAGAAGGAGAGATGGTAAGAAACAAATTAAATAGCTTCTAATGAAAAATGCAAATAATATTAAAAACAACTTCACAAATTCCTTCATCCTTTTATAAATACTCAAATATCTTCTTTATAAGCTCAGAAAATCAGAGAATATAATAGAAAAAAAGCTCAGTAATAAAAAGCTTTCTTATAAAAATACCCAGAAAATTTTTGGCCATAATTTCCTAAGATTCTGAAAGGTGATAAAAAACAGAACACATGCAGTAACTTCTCTTACGTCATATCCTCTCAGTACGGCTATATGGAACGAGAGCAGCTGCATGGGGATAACGGTGAGCACCCCCTGAAGGCAATCTACAGTCTGGGGGACCTCCACATAATTATATGCATACTTTTGTGTTTCTGTGTCTCCCTTGGTACAAAGTAAAACGGGGCGCCCCTAAAAGGATACCAGTGGTTGAGACGGTGTTAAATATGGACTCACTACACATGCACTGCCCCTTGTAGCCAGCTGACACTAGACAAGCACTACACACAAACAAAATCTGTCTCATCTCAACAAAACTTCATACTGCAGAAAAAACTGCTAAATACGGATAATCAAATATTTTGTTAACTTTTTTTGAACGATTTTTGTTTTTTTTTGGGGGGGGGGTGGCTTTTTCAAAATAAAGTTTGCATGATGAGACAGATTTTGTTAAACAGAAAGGGTCTACAGAGGAAGAATGAGTATATACAAGACAGTACACAGACTCTAAGCATGCAGAGAACAGCAATCTGGTTATGATATCTCTACAGTGGGTCACTGTGTTAACCAGGCTTACATCACATCCTCTCAACTGAGCGATATGCATGGACAGTAACTGCATGGGTATAATGGTTAGGATGCCTTGTAGGCAGTCTATAGTAGACGGAACACCAATAAACTTATTGGCTTGTTGTTGCGTCTCTTTGTCATCGGTATTGCCTAATACTATTGGATTACCCTACAATGAATAATCATGGTTGTCATGACAACATGCAAATTAGTCTGACAGTGCACATGCTTAACAAGACATGTTACAGTAGTTATATATATAATACCACTGGGACAAAAATTCTATATACACTGACAATGAGAAATAAGACAATTTCTAATGAAAGTCTACATCAATTAATTCTTATCTTCCTACATTATCAAAAACATAGTGTCATTGGGCTTCATGCCATAATCTATATTTTATATAATAAAATTTATATTATATATATATATAATAAAATTCAATAGGCTCGGGATGAAACTATTGGCTGAAACTATGATAATTGCTTTTTGTGGACACAATTGGAAGCCAATTCATCAGGAATTTATGACAAGTGCATGATCATGTTTACTATACATGCAGTAATTGAATGTTTATTATAATTGAATGTTAATGAACTATACTGTTATGAATGGAGGCTAATGGAAAAAAAACTATGCAAAAGACTTATTGGTCTCTCCAGCATCAAAAATTCAATTCAGAAAGAAGGAAGCCAAATCAAAGATACAATTTATACCAGAAGCAATTCATAAGCCGTATTAGATGGCCCATAAAAAATTTCAGTCTACTTAAAGCTAAAAAAAATCTGAATTCAAAAATGGTATTTTAGGCCATAATAAAAATATTCCTAGATTCTCATCCCCGCCCGCCCCGATTTTATACTCCCGCCTCGATTTTTTTTATTTCTGTTTTTCTTCGTCTTAATTCTGATCGGGATCGGTATTCATCTACCATTCTACTTTTGTTTTAAATCCCGCGAAAGTCGACATGATTTTGACAGCTGAAATGACGGTTATTGCTGCAATACATGCGTATATATTTTAAACAAGGATCATTGGTTGAAAAAGATTGGTGATGATGTGAAGTAAGAGATAATTGAACCTTTACTATGACTTTTATTCGGGTATTGTAGATAAAATTACACCGATTGACCAGGTCAAAAAAAAATCTGCAAAATTGAAAAAAATAAAAATATAAAATAAAAGCCGCCCGCCCGCCTCGATTTAAAAAAAAATTCGGATGAGAATCCAGCAATTTATTTATTATGGCCTTATCACTAATTTTCATAATAGAAAACAGCAATTCAGTACCAGTGTTCTGCAAAAATAAAAAAAGACAAGAATGAATCTTTTTCTCTGAAATGAAATGGAAGCCAAACAGGATCACAACATGCATATACAGTCATACAGATACAGACATTACATTATATAAAGAAGAACAGGCAAGAGGCTCGCGGTCTGTAGTGCTAGCCTGATGGCAGGGCTACTGTCTGAAAAAGGAATCACTGTAAAATTTTGTTATTAAACATAACTGTACAGTAAATGTATAGTCCTTCTTAGTGAAAAATAACACTTTCGTTAATGATCTGGCACAAAGCAACGACACATCCAATGGACTATAATTTCTATAATAAAAATCTCAGAAAGTCAAAATTTTACTTCATTCACAATTTATAAAAAAAAATCTTTTTCATGTACATAGTTTTCATATTTTTCTATTGATAATGGTTGCTAAGGTAACCAGAATACTTACATGTCTGGCCTTGACCTGCTGCAGAGCATTCATACATTTCTACAAAAACAAAGAATGTTTGTCAAATCTTTAATTCTATTGGTATAAATAACATTTAATTAATACCAAGCAAACATTTCAAGTCCTACATCTCAAAATCCTAATGAAAGAAGATACATGTAATGCCTTAATCATTCCAGTATCTGAGCAAACCAATAGCAAATATTCTATTCGGCAACCAGTTTGGGGGAGTGGTCAATACTTACAGGGTAGACCTTGTCCCTGGTCACGACCATCATGACCGGCATGGCTTTGTCCACCAGGGCCAGGGGGCCGTGCTTCAGCTCTCCTGCTAGGATACCCTCCGAGTGCATGTAGGTCAACTCTTTTATTTTCTACCAAATGAATGTAAATGGGTATGTTACATGTAATTTTCTATCTCATTCATTTAATTTCATTAACATAAAATACAAATTGATTTGTAAATGAGAAAATTTGGAAGCATAATTTTGTTATTAATACTGTGCAAAAGAAATTTGAATTTCCACTATAGGGGTGTAAGAATCGTTGAGTTTAACAATGTCTTTAAAGGCAGGAAGAGGGAGATAACTCAGAGAATATACAATCTTAGTCTTCAGGTAAATGAAGTATCTTTTCAAACTGGTGCCAAAAATTCAAATTTCTGTATTAAATAAATATGGAAACCCCCAAAATTTAAAAATGTGTACAGTATTTTTTGTCTTGGTTAAACAAAAGAGATAAAGTTGTCTGAATTCAATCCATGAAAGTAAACTTTAAAATTATATCAAAATCATGAAGTGTTTTGTGAAGTTTACACTGTGTACTCACCAGAGCTCCCTCCAGACATGTGGCGTAGTTATAGCCCCTCCCCATCACCAGTAAACTCTTCTGTTGGTACAGCTCCCTGGCCAGGGTGTGAACATGTTCATCTGTCTTCAGAACCTCCTTAATTTGATCTACAACCAAAGTAAATCAATACAGAAATACATATTTCTTTACAAAGCCTACATTCGTGTTCATTTATAATAATTTAGCATCTTTTTTTATATTGTGTTAAATTGATTATTTTAAATAAATGCATCCTTGCTCCACAACAAAATTTTCATTTTACAAAAATTTTTCTAAATAGAGTATAAATACACACTTTTGTGCATCCTTATAAGCATTTTTACTACATTTACGTCAAATTCTACACTCAGGCTATTCCAACCCTTACCTGGCAAGTTTTTGAGTCCCTGAATGATTTCATTCCTCCTTTCCTGCATTGAGATTCTGTCCTCACACATTACAAGAGCAAACATCACAAGGGAGATAAACTGACTGGTGTAGGCCTAAAATAAACAAAAGGATTATATCATCAATATCTATGAATAAATGAAAGAAGAGATGAATGCCATTGACACTGTTATATTAAGCACGTAATCCACAACTTGAAGAAAATCCTCATTATTTGTAAAACAAAATACTAAAAATCAAAACTGGGCACCAACGAAATTCTCAGTTACAGTTGTTCCTTCAGGAGTTGGATACATACCTTTGTACTGGCCACTCCGATTTCCGGTCCAGCGTTAATATGTACACCACAATGAGATTCACGACAAATACTACTGCCCACTGTGTTTGTGATTCCCACAATCAATGCCCCCCGCTGTTTACAGTACCGCAGAGCCATCAGAGTGTCTGCTGTCTCACCTGCGAAAGGTAGAAAAGTAAATTACATATCAAAGACATATAATTTTTAAGTCTACAAAAAACATATAGCATGACCATCCCATCTACAAGCTGTAAGCTTTAAAATGATCAGTGTAAGAAAAGCTTATAGACATATATGCAAAGATTATCAACTATTTGTTCTTATCTAAATGGCTGGAAATGACTTATTTCAGTCTTGATTTACCTTGTCTGTCTGTTTGAATGCACTTTGTTTATCAGTGCTTTACTGGTTGATGAAGTCTATGTTACTTTGTCTGTTTGTCTGTATGTATTTTGTCTATCTGTACCTAACTGACTGAAAATGCTATGCTACCTTGTCTGCATGCATTTTGTTTACCTGTTTGCATTGTTTATTTGTCAGTATGTAAGCGATTTCCTCATACCTGACTGGCTGATAAAGAAGCAGACATCATCCCTGAATACGGGCGTTTGTCTGTCTAGGAAGTCACTCGCTAACTCCACCACAACAGGAAGTTCTGTCAGTTCTTCCATCAGCTGCCTTGTCTGCAAACAAAACATTCATCATTTGTGAGAGTTTCTTATTATAAACAAAACATTATTGTTACTTTTCCTTTTACTTAAGATTTATCTGGTCTTCCGTTAATATTGCAATGACAATTTAATTTAGGAGGAGGGCTAAAATAGGCTCTGCCTGCTGCCCAATCCCATTCACTTTATGTGAATAAAATTTTGTATAAATAAATAATTTAAAGGCAGATTTCAAAAAAAGAATGAGAGAAATTATTTTACTTATGGAAAAGTTCAAGATTCTGTACAAATAAGTGGAATGTAATCACAATTATATTAAATCTTCATATTTAAATTTCCAGAACTCACAGCCACTGCACTATGATAGCTCGTCCCGCAAGCTATAAATAGAAGTCTTCGACATCTTCTGATTTCCACCATAAAGTCTTTGATTCCACCCAAAATGACTCGATTTGTGTCAAAGTTCACACGCCCCCTCATCGTGTTCACAACAGACTCTGGCTGCTCAAAGATCTCCTTCTGCATGAAAGAGCTGTAACTTCCTGTAAAACATTTACCAGACTAAGATTAAGGTGTTCTTACCTCAAAACAATTAAGTTCTGACTGAGATTTAATAAAATACAGCGATTCCTGATTTAATTTTACTTTCTTCAAACTTTGAAATAACATTTGCAATTTAGCTTAAACTAGATATAGATTTCCAAAAATATTTGGCAATAAGAAATGCCAAATATCAGCTCAATCAAAATGTATAAAAAGTGCACAAACACTCTTTGTAATCCATCTACCCTTTTTGAAGCACAGCAAGAGAAGAAGTATTATATTGATTGAGTGAGTACCTTTCATAATTTGTTGGATCTCCATTTTGATGGTGGTGACTTCACGTGTCGTTGATTCGTCCAGGGTGCGTTTGATTCGATGAATTGTAAGACAACCATTCTGTACAGCTGCTACATCATCATCCTCCAAAAATATCACCTGATTGGTGTGTTCTATTATTGCACTGAAATTAAGGAAGTGTTCCCAAAAAATTAAATTGTATATCAGATTGACATAAGACTACACTGAGCAATACAATCATAGTTTCTGTCTAAATATAGAATGTTACAATGTGTTCATACATGGGACTGTAAATGAAAAAAAAATTGTTAAAAGATTTTTAAATTCCATTTTACTGTAAAGAATGATTCAATGGGAAATCCTGCCAAAATTATTTATAAAAAGAAGGTAATCGTGTTGAAATGTGAAACTTGATGCCTTGCATCTTTTTTGAATTCTTGAATAGAAAACAGATCTACTGTTGGTATGCTGCTTCAGGTATTACATGTATCACCATTTTCCCAAAAATATATGTAAATACAAAGCTCCTTAGAATCCCCCACTGGATTTTTGTCTCGTATTACTCAAATCATACAATGAGTATATTAAAATTGAAATTTCATATTTATAAATCATACATTGTTAATTTTGTAAGGTTTCACTGATAAATTACCTGGCATCTGAAGCGAAGAAATACTCAACTTCCTTGTTTCCTATTGGATGGAATTCTGTCGTACTGTCCGTGTGGTGCAAGGAAGGGTTCATTAACCCGCGGTGATCTAAATTAAATTATAATCTTTAGTCTTTGAAAAATTGAATAACAAAATACAAATCTGCATGCTTTAACTGAGAAAGTTGTGTGGGGATCCTATTTTTAAATTCTCTTAGAGATTGAAATACACCCCCCTCAATTAACAGCATTTTTTTCTCAAGTCACCTGTGATTAAATCGGATCCAAAGTCCTTGAATCATTTTCAAGATGTTTAAAATAGTTAATCATTCACAGAGAACAAACATTTTTTAGTCAATTCATGCTTCGTATGTTAAGATCAATACTGTAGGTTTTTACTTAAAATTTGCTTAGATCATTTTCAAAAGTATATATGGTGACTGGTCCATTTATTCCACATTCATTATAGAATGCAAGACCTGACCTCACAAGAAAACTCGGCCTAATTAATCTTATGTGAACCACCATATTTTGGGATCAACACACGACAAATAAACCTAGCCCTGCTCTGTGGAGTATGAAGTGAAATGATCCATTCACTTGTGTGTCTATATATTCACACCCAGTAACTATAGCACCATGACTCTTCCACCACTCATATACTTACCATCATCTTCTATTGTCATTTTATAGTTTATCTTTCTACCTCAAAGTTCAGCATTAATATTCAATAAAATTTTTATTCAGCATTTGACTTTTTCTATTTATCTATTAATTATATGCACCTCTTTAAAAAAAAATATTATGCTTATTTATCATCGTTTTACAGAGAATTTGCACTTATAAATATAAATAAGATGCAACATGCATTATACAAGATATATGACCTTTGTATATACATGTATTTTACATTTTATAACTATATGATATATATTCATATACACATGAATACAATATATCCATAGATACAGAAATTTCAACAATGAATTTCAATACAAAATCAAAAGCAATTCTTAACAGTTCATTTTCAATAACTTTTAATCATTTTCATGATATTATTTTTTTTAACTTTATTATTTTTTGTTATTGTTAAAAACTTTCCTTTTTTTAAATCAGCAAATATTATTGCCTTTATAGTTTATACTTGTCTGTCTGTTAGAATTTATATCAATTATTTTTTGCACTTGTAAGCTTTACCCTTCCCAGATAAACAACAAAGTAAAATTTTTAAAAGCCTTATATGTCAATTGTTACTGGTTTAGTAAACTACTTTTATAGATTCTTCTCGTTTACATAAAAATTTTTGAAACTTTTGGAATAAAGTTATCAACATGTAATCAAATAACAAATTAATTGTAAACAAATAAAAAAATAAAAATTGAATTCTACATTATACTTTCTATTATTAGTTAAAAAATTATATAAGGTAAAAAAAAAGTGCTGATACAAATTAAGTACAGCTGTATTAATTGAAGGCACAATTATTAAATCCTCAATTCCTATTAAAAATGTTTAAATTAATTTACAAATACTTGAATTTTTCTCTATGAAGAAACAACTTGTTTGAATGAATAATTTTCAGTTTGACTTACTTTAATTCCTATGTCAAGATTAATTATAAATATCGAAAATTAAATTTAGCATTCTACAAGCAGACTTAATAAGAAATGTTTGGTTCTAGACTTTGCAAGTACCTGATTTTCCAAGACTAGATTTACCTCTTAAGAATTTACATACTATGTACTTATAATTCCTTAAATATTATCCTTGACCAGACATTTTTCTTTATTCAATTTTTTCAACTCTAAATTCTTTCATTTCAGTTAAATGTCTTTTTAAAAGTTTTTAATTGGGGGTGTGGTGGGGGTTGGGGGTAATTTTGTGTTTTAAGGGGCGAGGTGGTAGGGGTGTTAATGTAATTAAAATTCTACAAGTTTTCCCCTCACACTTTGTATTTTGTATAAAGCAGTGCTACATACTACAGTCACTAATAATACTTTAAAAAAAAATATATAATCTTTATATTCTACATATAATTTTAAAATAAGATAGAAAAAATGCTTATTCTGCTGCTGTTGTTTAAGAGAGAAGCCATGCCAGACAGAATTATGAAGCGGCAATGAAATCAATGTTCACTACCTGACGAATCTTTGGCCAGGTCCCCTCCTGCATGCATAAATCACAGCCATCAACATTCTGGGTGCAAGTGTACTTGCACATGCTTACAGATTTAGCTATTGTTAGTATTATTGTACCAGTTACTAATTGTTAATACAAAATGCAACTTTTACTTGGAATTTAGATGAAGACAAAAAAAAAAAAAAAAAAGAATGAATGTTTTTTTTTTCTTCAAGATATAATTTGAGTTATAGCTAACAGGTACTCTCCTGTTGGCTTATATACCCATATTCTCTTCTTTAAGATTTGCTTTATCTACTAAAGATTTAGGTCATTTATTTTGCTTTAACCTTAATTTTATAGTTTTTTTAAACCTCATTTGCTTTCACTATATATAACTTTTTTCCAGGGGAATTTTTCTATTCAGTTTGGCTCTATTTGGACTTCACTCCTTACAACTTTCCCCCATTCTTCCTCTTTGTGTTTTTAAAGCATTAAGTACATAATCCATACAAAAGGTATTTTTACTTCCTTAATTTGAACAAAGAAGGACTAATTACAGATCTACCCCCTGGATCCTTGAAATATTACCCCGGATTCTCAGTTGGCATCTCATAAATTGTATACACGTATATATAACCTTGAAAATATTTAAACTTTTAATGCATACTTTAGGTAATACACTGCTAGTATCTTGGGAAAATCAGGAAGATTTAATTTTGAGTCCCTGCCTTAGGTTCATTATGTTTTTAAAAGAATGCTGTTCACAGACTATGCACTCATGACTGTTTACAAGGTTTTAAAAGCAAGCATGCTCAATTTAATCGATTAGCTATGGAAAATGAGGAAACATAAAGGTCGTACGAGTTATTTATTATATATAGGTAAAGGTCTATTATCTATAAAGCCCAACTTTGACAATCTATCCTCAGACAAATATACAAATATACTTGTGTATTCTAATACACACATTCTTCAAATGCTGATTAATTTACTAATAAAAAAGAATGGTTATAGATATATTGCTTAAAAGTATTAACAACAGCAAATAGCCATATGAAGAGGCATGCAGTATATACCATATATTCTACATGTAATATAAATGTGTATAAATATTTTGAGATTACATCTGCAAAATTAAGAAATACTCATGACAGATTATTTAAAATCTCATTTTAAATTAATTAGTTTCATTATTTCAGAACTGTCATCAGTAGTATGTGAGCATATTAATGCATAATTTAGTATAGTCTTCAAGATATCCGGACCACCAACTATTCATGTGTCATGACAGGGAGCTGGGACAAAACCTTAACGGTCAGTCTTTAATCTGGTAATTAATTCGTTCAAAACAGATATTGAAGAAAATTGAAAAAATACTTGTTAAGTGAAAGGGCCATAATATTTTTACCTTGATGCTGAGAGCAGCTCAGTGTGTTCTATTGCCCTTGGTCATAGCCCTCAGACATAAGAACACACTGAGCCTTTCAAAATATCTCAGTTCCTTTGTTTAATCAGACTGTGATGACGATATAGTCAAAAATGAAAAAAAAATGTGCTGCAACATTCCTCTTATTACTTGTCACTCAGTATGCTCCTTTCTTTCTGCCCTTTACTTCAAGTAATTGCTAAATCTAACACATATTACACATTTTACTTGATTTAAGTGATGTGTAATTAAAATATTTTTTTCTTTATGGCTTAAGGATGCTGAAAAAGTCAAAATATTACAAACTACAAACATTCCCCCTCAAACAAGTATTTTTTTTTTTAAAAAGCATTTAAAACCAGCTACACTCTATAAAACACAATGATTATTAGTGATATATTCATCTGGTTCAACTTTATTTTTAGGTGAAAAAAGACAGAAAAAATGCTTATTCTGCTGCTGTTGTTTAAGAGAAAAGCCATGCCAGACAGAATTATAAAGCGGCAATGAATTCAATGTTCACTACCTGACGAATCTTTGGCCAGGTCCCCTCCTGCATGCATAAATCACAGCCATCAACATTCTAGATATAACTTAATACGTGCTTCATTTATCAGAGATGTTAATTTCATAATGTACAAAAAATATTTTACAGTGTCCTAATTCTACAATTTCAAGCTTGACCCCTCCCACCCTTACTCAGTGATCAGATAAATAATTATTACATCATTCATAAAAATAGAACATGTAAATTCTATGAATATATATACCAATACTACCAGAATAATGTATTACATTTGTATCTAAATTCCCATGAATCTCCTGTACACATGCATTCAGTTTGGATGCAGTTATATTTCGTGCTGATTGTTATATTTTTGTTGTAATACTGTACATACATTAGTACGAGATGCATGCATAACATGTTTTAGACCATATAATCTTTATTTTCAATCTCGATTTTCATTTCATCATCATTATGTCAAACATAATTTTTGCGAGGATTCATTTCTGTGGAGTGAATTAATTTAAATGGAGTGGTATGTAATTTTAAAAAAAAATTTCAAAATAATAACAAAGCCGAAAAATGCAAGCCAGCATTTACCAAAAGGTTGTAGTCTACTAATGTGATCGACCATAGAGGAGCTATCTACAAGAATACATAAATATTAAAATAAGATTGTGAGAAGCAGCGAGGATGTGACTTGTATAGAGGTGGATGATAGTGAGTGGTGGGGGATATGAAGCATAGATTACAAATGTGGCATTTCTGACTAACGAAAATTTAACAGAGCTTCTCTTGCAGTGCTAAATATGTATGTCATTATGTGAACACTACTTTTACTTATACATTTTGTGTCTAACAAAAAAGATTGTCATAAATGAACCTAGTTTTAAAATTCTCTGAATTTTCAAAATATAACATTCAACTCTATTTTCTATATGACGTAGAGAGATACAAGGTCCTGTGTTTCTATGATCTATCTAACTATTTTAAGAACAAGCAAATTATAAATCAAGTTTTTAAAAAAAAAAATTAAGTATCCAAATTCCTTTATGTGTTGTTTGTAAGAATATATCCATTTTGAGCGTTTCTTATGTTACTCTATAGATTATCTTGCCGGTACACAAATTTTCCAAAGCTAAGATATATATACCCAGCCCAAGACAATCTTGGGAAGCAAAATGACATAGAAATGTTGGTGTGAGACAACATTGACTGATACACAAGTCCATTCTCCTTCAATATGTATTTTGACTTCTTTCCTGATGTTCCTCCAAAATAATATCTCATTATTTTACTTTCTATAAGAGAATTTTTGTATTTTTTTTTTTCTTATACCCTTTTTTTGATGAAAATGCAATATTTTCTCATTTTAAAAATGGATTAAAAGAAATTAGCTCAGAAAAAAATGAATGAGTGCTGATCAAAAATCAAATAATTAAGATGAAATGAATTATGTATTAGTAATTTCCATTTCAAAATGATGTGGAGAATGAACCATTTAAATACTTCAAAATAAATATACAAGTACTTATACATGTATATAAGTAATAAATAGCTGTCCATTCTTAGACTAATACAGACCTTTCTTTTCCGAAAGATTTGGCTCTACAATAATTACAATAATAAGCAACAACTTAAAATATTTCTCTTTTTCTTACATAATTTCCAAAATGCTTTTGAATACTTTAAGTAATAGATATGTTGAAGAGAAGCATGTCTGAATACCTAATGTCAGATCGTTTCCGTTGGCTGGTGTTTTGTGTATCATGTGCAATGATTATACAGATTATGGGGTTACCTAATATTGCATGCTTAAATAGGTAGCCTCTAACTTTGAAGTTTCAAGTTTACCTGTACTAACGCCTAAATGCGACTTTTTAAAAAATATTGTATTACAGTGTTCTGTGTTGAGATAACATGTAAGATAATGTGATGATGTTAGAATTTCTCCCCATTATAAGAGGTGAGGTGAGGTGAGGAGTTTTGCTGTACTAATCTTCAGATCTTTGTTTACCTTTGCTGTACAGGATCGGGATGTGGTCTGTTGACAGCTTGGCCTTGCTCTTGACACCAATAACAAGGGGACTGCCTCGCCTGGGGAAAAATCAACAACACAAAATTAACTTCTGATCAACATAAAATACATACAAGACATCAACATACATGGTCTATAAAAGAATATTAAGCTTGTTTAAAAAAAAAATCATCCTTTTTTGGTCCTTCAAGCACTATATAATCATTTGTTCAAATATTTCTGAAGAAGGGGTGTCAAAAAAGACATTTTATCATCCCCTCACAATGGGGTTGGAGGGGATATACCTGTAGTAATGCAATCCTGTGTGTGTGTTTGTATGTGTATCTTAGTTTGTCCTTGTGCAAAATGAAAGTAACATAATCTGCATCTGGATCTATGTCGAATAAAGCCTTGATTTCTAGATATGTTCTTTGCAAGGGGATACTCTGCCTAGCTTGCAGGGTCCTAGCATGTTCAACTTCTTATGAGAATCACAGATACAGAGCATTGAATGTGAATTAGTAAACAAGCTGTTTTAGAAAGAGAGAGAGATACCCCTATACTTTACTACACATATATAGAGGGATTTTAGGGAGCTATGGTAATATGATAACATCCACTACCTCAAACAAGAATTTAATTTGATTTTGGTCTTTAAGAGGTCATTATTTGTGTTCCTCCTGCACAAAGACTACAGTAAACATTCTTATGAACTACTCATATATTTAGAGAATAAAGAAGAGGGGACAATGTAAACAGAACTGGGCCATAAATTAGGCTTACTGTCCTCTTCAGATGACGAATAAACATCTACTAGCCTACATCTACAAAGATCATCTCTATACAAATCAAACAGCACATGGACGTCAATTAATGTACAACTGTCTGTTTATTTTGCATGGACAGTGTCTAGTTTAGCTACTGAGTGGGTGTTTTCTTGTCCTCAGCTAGCATGTAACTAAATATACAGGGCATGTTATCAGATGGTCCATATAAAACACTAGTGACATTCAGATCTGTATTAGTGAAGTCTCCTCTTCAATAATTTATTCCATATCAAAGCTCATTTGATACTATACCTGGTCGATACACATTCTCCTGGGTATTTAGAACTCATGAAAACCAGTGAAAAAGCCCCTTCCTAGGAGAAAAAGTGCACATCTATAGTTTGCAAACAATGAAGAAATTTGATTTGATTTGATTTACTCCTATTATAAAGAAAAGATTTTGAAAAAAAAATCTAAATTTTGTCTACAGGGAGAGACTGGGATCCATACCAGTTGCTGAATGGTGAGTTCCACTAATTCTCTGAAGGAAATGCTGGGGTTTTTGTCGTAGATGTGTTTGACCATTTTTACAATCACTTCTGTGTCTGTCTCGGATTCAAATTCAAATCCCTTAGAGATCTAAGATTTTTGGGAAAAAAAATGATATAACATGGTTTTATAAAAAGAAGAAAAATTAAAAGATACCTGTATCAAGTGCAATATAGGTTTTCTTACCAAGAATGATTTAAGGTCCTTGTAGTTTGTGATGATGCCATTGTGCACAACAAGGAATTCTGAAAATACAGGACCTCTACATCAATATTAATTCATACTTTTATTGTAAGAGAATCATAATAATGGTATTCCATTGGCAGTATATTCATTATTTGTAAATCATTACAATAACTGTGTACCATTGGTGGAGTCGGACCGCTGGGGGTGGCTGTTTGTGGGACTCGGTTCTCCGTGCGTGGCCCAGCGGGTGTGAGCGATCCCTATGTGGATGTCATACTCCTTCTCAAAGTCAAGGTCTGTGCTGTCTATAAATAAAGCAGAAAGGAATTAAAGATTTAAAAAAAATTTTATTTCCCAAAATCTTTACCTAAAGATACATGTGGTACATGTACTTGTGCTTTGACTTACGGGCAATTTCCTCCTGTAGCATTGCTACTTTTCCTTTCTGTTTGATTGTTTTAAGTTCAAAGCCTCCATTTTTTGTATTGGTTCCTTCAAATCCCACTCCTGCAAATAAAATAAATGTAACTATATTTTCTTTGCATTTTACATGTAAAAGGATATAATAACTTACTTCCTGATACTAGTACTTATTCTTAGGTAAACTTCAAATAGCTGAATGAATATCTTTTTTTTCATACGATCAGATTACCTTGTAACTCTGTGACCTTAACCTACCTGCAGAGTCATAACCTCTGTATTCCATTCGCTTCAATCCATTGACAAGGATATCCAATATTTCCTTCCGTTTGGCAGGAACCAGATAGTTTAGGTATGCAAATATTCCTGTAAATATTAACATGATATAAATAAAAATATCAAAGTAAAGAGTTAATTTTCAATATATTGACAGTATATAGGGGGGGGGGATTTAATTTTGAAATCTACTGCATGAATAGGATCATTTCTACACTTTGGATAAAGTAGACAGAAGAAAATTTGTTTCATTTGCACTGAATGATAAAATTGAATGAACATGCACCAAGTAGCCTTAATTGCTAGTGCGAGTTGTGAGTAACATTTTTGTTATCTATTGCACAATGGAATCCAGGACTGGTTTATTTATCTACTTCCTTGTTTCTTTATCAGACATGATGTCATAAACCAATACATTAGATTACAATGACACTTCATTTATACTGACTATGAATGATAAAGATTTACTATGCATTAGAAGTAGAATTAACCATGTCTTCTTAAACTTATTATCCAGTCACCATAGTCACATTGTATGTCACAAAACAAAAGATACTGGGGGAAAAAGCACTGAAATAAAGTTTCAAATTTACTGCATATTGATTGATCCTCTCTCAAATTCACCAATAAATTATGTGACCTGAGTATTTGTGCCTCACGTGAGAAAAAAGTACAACTGACATGTCATTACGGCAACTACTGTTTGTTTTTCCTTTATATTTCTTTTTATGTCAATCTTTTATATGTGTTTATAATTTTTATTACTGAGCAACAATTCTCATTATTAAGCAACAATTTTATTATTGATCAATACCAAAGGTCCTAAACAAAGTGGCTAGATCTTTATAAATGATACGAGTCTTGTGTTAAATAAAATAGGGAAGATTTCTTTTACTTTATAGACCAGCTGTTGAAAGATTGATCTTTGATCATGTCCTATGTACAATATAAAGTGACTACATTGATCATCCCTGTGTATTGTCATCATCATATTTTATAATTACACGTAAGAAAGTTTTATCCACATCAATTTCTCTAATCCTTCATTTTTTCTCCTCTCTCTGAATACTGAATCTTAACATCTGTCTGCTAAATCAGCTTTTACATACACTTACCTGTATTGTCAAGTAATTAATTAGGAATCACCTGAAGACTGTATATTAACAGACACTGTCAAAACTTTCTTAACAGTTTACTAATCTGATAATAATAATTGTTACATTTATAATAGAAAGAAGTTCGAATAAAGAACAAAATAAATTAAACAATCAAATTTACTCTTGTAACAATCTTAACTGTTTCATGAGAATTTATACATTCAATTAAGTTTTTACACTGACAATCCTGCTCCATTACGTAAACGTATATTTTATCAGTCATTAATGTCTTGAGTGATCAGTTTTACGTAATTTGTTTAGATTGTTTTAAGCTGCTCCCTCATTGACGAAATCAGAAATAGCACCGTCCTTAACTACAGTGCTATTAATTATGACCCACACCCTTAATTAACTGTGTTTATTATTCATGAATTACAAGAGTTACAGAATACAATGCACAGGTACGATCAGGTGCCTCATGTTTACGTGCAACTTAAGACATAAATTTTCAATTCTATGCATCATCTTTTTTTAAGGGACATGCAGGCATTGAATTCTTTTCATCCCTTTTCCCCCATGTATATAATTCTAAATTTAAGACACAAATAACACAGTTCCCATTCTAGTAAAATTCACAAAAGCATGCAGATAAATAATTCTGAGAAAAAGTTAAATAAAGAGACGCTTTAACATGCAGATAGACAATAAGACATTCCCATGAGATAATCTTTTATGCAGTAAACTGGGTACTTCAGGTCTTATCTTTTTTCTTGGAAAATGATACAGTGGGTTTTAACAAGAATGAGGTGTCCCATGCACTGAGAGGATCAACTTCAAGGCTATTATATAATGCCATGAATAGTTTGTCTCACAACATTTTGGGAGAGAGTACAGCTTTTTTAATCAAAGAATAGGTAGAAGTACATGTACATTGTGATATCAAGAATATGATTCAAATGATCAAATCATGCGTATTTCGATGCCTCATTTATAATTTTAATCAAAAAGTACTCATACAGATGACAAGCAACTGCTTCACACTTTAAGAGAACAAGCATGTACACATCTTACAAACTCTTATACAAACACAGTAATGTGTATTCTCTCCCTGCCCTATTTGACATATTCCCTGTAAATTAATATGGCCACTGTGATGGGTCTTCAGATTAAATATTTACTCAATGTTGTAAGGGTGTTTGAACAGAGGAGGTGGTTAATCGCATGTCTTCACTGTACAAAGAGAATTTCTATCTTATGTACTGACTGATAATGACATCAACTAAAGTGTAAAGTCAATACATGTAATTAAATAAAAAATCTATGATGAAAAGAAATTTAAAAAGCTGCATGCACTTAACAAAACAGTAAATAGTTAACATTTTGCTATCGGCAGAACATAGGTGTCAAAAGCAAATTGGAAGTGGGGGCTAAACCAACAAAAAAAAGGTAAACCCCAATTTTCAATGCCTATATTATGTCTATGTTTGCAAAAAAAGTGGGAGGGGCTAAGTCCTCCCTCCAGCCCCCCGGTTCCGATGCCTATGCAGAAATAGATATTTATACAGATACAGTATAGGCATGTCCCAAACTATCTCCCATAAAGATGATAAAACTGAAAATCTCTGGAAATGTGCACAATTGTATACATTCTAATAAAATAATTCTGAATTTTCAGAATTTTATTTTTCGCATAAATCTCAAAATTAACTAAAATATGGTGTTCAGTGACAAAACTATTCAAATGTGCTGCTCAGTGCAAAAATTGGACCAAAATAGGTGTCCAGTCATAACATTAAAAAAATTGTGGTGTTACATCACAAAAATTGAAAAGACTACCTCTATATATACTGTAATTTCAAATATTCTAGACTAACCTCCATCAATCAATGGTGTCATAGCTTCCATATTTATTTTTCACAAATTATATATAAGCCTGATTTTTCTTTTTTTTTCTTTCTAAAGAGAATTATTTTACTAATTTCTCTGGTGTTCAGTCTCCTTGAACAACTTTCACAGTCTAAGTCAACTTATTTTTCAAATCACCTCAAAATTAACAAAGTGATTAAACTGCTTTATTTTTTTAAATGTGTGATTTAGGTCAGAACTGCACCAACCACTTTAAACTTCCTAGTAGACCAAAGTCAAGCCTGAAGAACTGCCTGATTTAATTTCAAAGACTTCTATTTATAGCCACTACCAGGAAGAGGATTTCTGTCACAAAAGAATTTACCTATACATGCCTATCCACTATTATAACAGTAGCCAGGGATTAAGTTTCAGGGCTGTCAGACTAGGGTTTTTCCTCAATTCTAGACAATCCCTACTTCACAAACATTCATATTCAAGCCAGATAAGAGATATTAATTGCCAAAAAGAAAGTAGAATATATATATTATATTTAACCTCGACTTACATATTTCAATTTTACTTAAATACAATGAAGAATGAAATGGTGTTACTCCTTGTTAAATTTCTAATTGGTCCATTAGAAAGATTTTATATCAAATAATTGGCACACTAAGAAAACTGAATCCAAACATGCTTTTCAAACTTGAGTTAATACCACCTAAACAATAAAAGTTTTAGTTGATTATGTCAGATTTTCAGCCTTGAGTCATTATGTTTAATGACAATCTTAAAATGAAAGTTTTATGACTTACACTAATAGAATCGATTTTAATATCAAACTTAAGAGCCCCTGTTTCTTTTTAAGATATGATACTTATATCACATAAAATAAAAAATTTTAATTAGATTTGATTGCGCAGGTTTTTTTTTCTCTATGCAGCTCTTGCTGATCTTTTGATGACATTTTTTTTTTCATTTTAAGCTATTTAATGCAATTTTGATATATAACACTTCAAAAATCATTTCCATTCCTCACAATCCAACAATATAGCTGGTCTGGAAATACATAATTATAAAGCAACTTCATTTCTAGATGTTTGTGATAGTGTAATGATTCTGAAATATTTCATCACCATAACCATGATAACGATGAATTAAAATCAGTTTGGCATGCCATCGCAGTTACAATATGCTTGACTTCAAAAAACTTACATTTAAGAGCTCCACAATATGGCTTATATCACATAAAAATCATCATTTTCACAATCAAACAATATAGAAATTCAAATTCATTTCTAGTGAATTTGTATATTCATTTATTTTAAAATCAGTTTGGCAATAATGTTATATGTTTTCATTTGAAATTCATGTGAATTTGTATATTCATTTATTTTATAATAATGTTATATGTTACATGATGTCTGGTGCATCATCTTGTTTCGTGTGCTTTTAAATTTTTAAGAGCGAATTAACAATTTTTAACAATGCTTCAACGAAGATTATACACCATAAAACAAATTTCCCTTTTGCAATGGCTAAAAAAGTAGATAAAACAAATCTCTAAGCTTACCACACATGTTGTCTGTTGCTGCTCTCACTGGTAAACAACGCCACGTTTGTGGAAACCCCCTTATATCACTGCAGGCCGCTTATATCACTTCCGTCAATATATGCGTTTTTCTTTAGAATGTCTCTTTTCAAATGTGGTAGTTTAATATGTTCATTTGTTTATCAAGATATGGCATAAACTTGGGACCATTGATGTAAATCAGGGCGTAACGTATTCAGAGAGGCACCTGTCAAAAACGGTGCGTTCAGTTGTCAATAACTTGTTCTGTTTATGTTCGGGTCCATGATTCGCAGAACAAAAGGTCCACAAACTATGCAACGTTCAATGGTCCAGCTATCCATAAAAAAGATCTTTTACCGGAGTAAACATTTTTCTCACTTTATGTCCTAAGGGCTCATGATTTTTGTTTGTTTGTTATGTTCTGTGTTTGTTGATGAAGTTTTGTTTGCAACACTGGATACAGGAATTACAGAATCTAAAATATAGAAAAACACTCCATCTACAACTCAATGATAATGATTTAAACAAACTAATTCAGAAAATCTGCCCCCCCCCCCCGCTTAAGGAAAAAAGAAGAGCCTATGCGCGGATCTGGGGGTGGGGTTCGGGGGGGGGGGGGTGCTATTTTAGAAGGGCGGACTGGGGCTGCCATATGGAGTATAATGATATAAAAAAATGCAAAAACTCAAAAACTTTTTGAGATTTCGTCCGGAAATAAAAGTTTTTCAAACACCCACACTGAATGTATTAATTTAATTACCACCTTGACCTTCGTCACTTTTTGACCTCAAAATACTAGTAAGTACCGGAGAGGTCTTCAAATGCCATTGTTAAGGTAAGTCACTCCTGAAATTTGTTAAATCAAGGATTTTTTGAGAAGTATATTTTGGATAAGTATTCATAAAGTGTAACTCAAAATCGCAAAAAATAGGGGTCAGTGTGCATCCTCTCTCTCTCTCTCTCCTTTTTGCACTCTCTCTCTTTGGTTAATTACTTTAACCCTTATTATATTTGATCAGATGTAAGCATGGCAATAAATATAATCTTATTTTACGTAAAAGAGTGTATTCGATTAAGACAACCCGTGTCGCACTAGTGTTAAATATGCGCATGCTCAATGATTGCACTCTAGTGATCTAAATAAAACATCTCGTGTTGTTTAGTGTTTGTATAAATATGGCGGGGAAAACAGTATATTCCCTGTATATCTGGTTTGAACAGGACAAACAATTGATTAACAAACAACATCTAATTATCAAATAAAGAATGGCAAATAATTTAATACAAGATATCAATGCTGAAATTAATTGCTCAACAAAATGTATTTTATACAGATTAAACATGTATTTCATAGGTTATTTATCCTTGCAATATTATTTAACAAGTCAATACCTCCTGTTATTAAAATAAAAAAAGTAGAATAAGAATGCATTCACATACATACTTGTCAATAGTACATGTATTAAATATAATAGTGACATACCATCTTTTTTTTTGGGGGGGGGGGGGAGGCAAACCAGAGAAATAAAAACGAAACTCCTATTAAGTTAGAGGAGGGGGATGTAGGTCCCTCTTCCTTCAGCACCAAATTTTATTCCCACAAGACGACTTCACCCTTGCTTGGCGTTACTGTAACAAATAGGGGGAGGAAGCTATCGGTGGTCTTTCAATGAAGATTTTAAGTAAATAGATGTTTGGAAAAAAAGGTGTGCATGGGGAGCGCTTTCACTAGCTGCCACATGTATGTGCCTGTGTTCTCTCCTCCGTAACATTTTGCATGGGGTATAATAATTGGTCAGAAAAGTACCATAGCTGACATTTTTCATTTTAATATCATAATGGTATAAGTCATAGGATGTGAGAGGCATATACTTTTACAAAAAAAATGTGACGCCGGTTGGAAAGAAAACTTGAGCTGATATCTTTTTCATGGTCTTAAATGGCTGTGGATTTAAATTTTGAGTAAAATAATTTTCAATAGTTCAATTAAGTTTTATTTTTTAAAATACGCATGAAATTGTTCAATAATTATTAAGATTGTAATTAAAGGCTGAAAAGGTAATTTCTATATACTTTCATGTATAACATTGTTACAACGAATCGGTTGGTTCTGGGGATCGGTCCTAACCTCCATATTTATAAGATTACATTGTAAGATATGCATGTAACTGAAATTGTTTTCACATTTAATCTTGTAATGATCTTAAAAATAAATTATTAAAGAATTTATAATAATAATAATAATAATATTTAACTTCATAAGGAAATTAACACGACATATCTATGCTGCGATTGTTAAACCTATAAAATAATATTAATGAATCAATATGCATCTATTAGACATTTTTGTAATCAAGAACTTACACCTAAGACCAAAAACTAATTCTGCGAGTTTATTTTTCTTGAAAAGAATTAAGAATGTTTCTATGGTAACAATTTCCAAAACAGTTAATTTTCAGAAATTTATAATCAACATAAGTTTATGGATTTAGTCGTAAGTTTTTTTGTTCCATAGGTTCGGGCAACAATTACAATGTATAGGCAGATTAAAAAAAAAAGCTGGATAAACTTCTTTATTTTTTACATGTAAAAATTAAAAACTGTCAATGATACAACAGCAATTTTAAGAGGTTGACCTAAAATATAAAAAATAAAAAAAAGGCGGGGGATGTCAAAATTATAATGCAGACTTTTTTCATTGACGTTGTAAATTTCTAATACAAACACTGACAAATTTATGCAGAAACAGTTTTCGCATTAACAATGCGACTTCACTTCCCGCCATTTCTTTTACCTGTTACTCCAGGTAAACTGAAAGTATACTCGCGTAACACGGGTTGATCACCCGTGTCGAAGATAGGTTGTTTTATTTACAACTCTAGTGACTCGTGTAACCCGTGTCGCTTAATCGAATATACCCAAATAGTTTGAATAATATTTATCATTAAACAAATCTTGCAAATTATTGCGCGTAAATTATTTTGACCTTTTTGCACTAAAAAATAACATATTTGGGGTATTAAAAAACTTAATAGGCAACAAAAAATTTTCTTATATCAAACTTTTTACGACTTAAGTGCTGATCAGTCACAAGTATCGAGTAGTTTAAAATAATGAAAGAAAAAGGTGGGGTCAGTGATTTTAATTTTGAAATATTTGTCAAAATATGTGATTTTCAGGCAAAAAATGGTGGAAATTTGATCTTGACTTCTTTAATATTTTTTCATTTTTGGGAAAAGTTTGTTGAGGGAAGGTGTAAAACTTAGTCTAAAAATATAAATTAAGACCTATATTAAATATTTTTAGGAATATCAAAACGGAAAATATTCTCCAAGTAAAATTATGTGAGGCTAAATTTCCATTACATTAAATTTTATAAATGTGCAGATTTTCTGCTAAATATCCTTCCACCAAAAGAAATAGTCCCTCATAAATCTTGCTTCTTTGTAAATTTTGAGCAGTTTTTTCATTGAATGTTAAAAAATTTACATTGTTGAATTTAAATATGTTATAAAAATTGAATTTTAATAAGTAGTTTTGAAGTAAAAGCTTCTGCGTGAACTTTTCTAAAAAGCTGACGAGTGACTTACTTTAAGGTCAAGATCTAGTAAATAACTTTTTTGGTGCTAGATCCATTATGACGTCATAATCAATTTCAACTTTCTTTTTCCCGTACTTTACGGCTTTAGCAGAGTTATGTAGAAAATAGGGTATTTTCATGTCATTCAATTTGAAATCATATGAAAAGTAAACCGGATACCTATATTAAATTTGATATTGATTTAAAGAAGAGGCCATGAACATACTAATTACCGTTTTCTAAGAGACTGTAGGCAATCTGGGTACATTTTCTTTGCCGAATACGAAAAAAACTCCCATACTCATGACTGGTTTTCTTAATTTTTCATTGAAATTTACAGTTTAAAATACAGTTTTTCATCTTGTTTACCTACAAATTAAGCCCCGAAACACCTTACTTGACCAAGCTAAAGTTGTAAAGCATCAATAAAGGAATTTATTTCTCACGTTTGATAAATCTGTAGGCACCTTTCATTTACTAGATCTTGACCTTAAAGCTCAAAAGCTTCTACAGATATCGTCTGGAAACGACCCCTCCTAAATATATCCATGCTCTCTCTCTCTCTCTCTCTCTCTCTGTCTGTCTCTCTCTCTCTCTGAATTAGCTTGTTTTCAGTATTTCTGGACACTGGCTATTCAAGCAAAGTCTAACTTTTTTCGTATAATATATTTGATGCATATTCTGTATTTTTCCTTGAAAAAAAATGCATTTAATTCTTTTCAAAAGTTAACCTTTGATTTCTGTATTTTGGCAACTGACTCATAGAAAATTAAATTAATTACCTTGTTTAAACATTGAGTCAAATGCTTAAGACGTTTTCATACTATGTCAGTCCATTATTTATACACTGAATTGACGACGGATTTTCCCTGGAGTTATTTCCCCATCATGACAAGATCGAGCACACGGCGGGTGTGACCGCCGCAGGGGATGCTCAACCCTCCATGGCACCTGATCCCACATCCGATGTTTTGGAGGTCCGTGTTTGCTCTTCTCTTATTTTGTATTGTTTTATGGACTTTTGACTGTTCGTTATCTCCATACATGTATGCATAGACCTTCGTATCTTCAATCTCCCATATGCTGCAAATATTGAAAATCTTTTATCTGTGGGTATAGACAAATGTCCCCTTGTCTATGGCAAGATTATATGTGTATTAAGTCTCAACCTGATAATAATTGATCTTTCTGGTTTTTTAAATATATCAGTGCATCCACGGCGTTTGATATAATGAAAAAGAACAACCTGATAAAATTTTATTTTCGTTGAATTATGAATCTTTTATGGCATGCCAAATTCACAATAATGAGCTTAAACATAGTTTCACAGTTTGATAAACTAGGTTTATCGACTGTAAACTATAGTTTACAAACCGTGAACTATAGTTAACAATTCGTAAACTGTAAAACTATATTTAACGGTTGTTATCTATAGTTTACGAATGCTAATCTAAGTTTATCTGTCTTTAATAAAACGTTTACAATAGATTTTGTTGATAAAGATAGATTCCTGTCTGTAAACTATAATTTACAATCGTGAACTGCGCGGAACGGAACTCTCGGTTCCTCGCTTTAACAACACCCGATGCTTTCAAGCGTACCTGGTTTTACCGCCTGCCATTAGTAAACAAAAGTTTCAGTTTGTTCGAAAAGCGTCGTCGTCGCGGTCCTGAAAAGTTGGTTGGTTTGGCGTCGTCGTAATATCAAAAATGAGTAAGAGAAAGAATGCAACAAGTGATAATCCCAACAAGGATTTTTGTGACTTTTTAATGGGTACGGTATTTACCATGGTTTTTGACACATACCGGTACCCCCACCTTTTTTTTGCATCAGCTTTGTTCGGTGTAAAGTAAACCGGTAAAAATGTAGAGAACCCTTGTTTATGCATATAGATCTATTCATGGTGGTTTTTCTTAGTACTCATCTTCATTATCAGACTTTGTGTCCTAGCTCCTAAAATTGTTGATGGGTTTCGCCACAGGGGCTTGTGTAGTGAAAATAAATCAGTTAGAAAATTTAGTACTTAGTGTTTCTTTCTCCGAGGTACTAATATTCTCTAACTGATTTATTTTCTCTACACAAGCCCCTGTGGCAGAACCATAGAAGTCAACTTTTTTATCAATAAATTAAAAATAAATGATAAATATGTTACAGGCTTAAATCCTAGCTACCAGTGAGCTTCGAGAGCGTTGCGAATTATTTGCTTTGCTCGCTATGCTCATGTAGCTTACTGGTAGGATTTATGCAGGTTGTATGTTTGTTTGCCCTAAAACGCGTTCGCCCTTGACACAGTTTGCTCTCTTTCTTGTTTGCCCAGAGTCCGTTCGCTCTAAAAATTGTTAGCACAAAGTACGTTCACTCATAATATGTTAAATAATATACTGTAAAACGAGAATATTTGGCGCACTAATAATTTTAGCGCCTTTGGCGCAAGAGCCCCTGAGCGCTAAAATTTATTGTGCGCTAAAGGATTTCTAAATATCTTTTTTTTTTTGTGTGTGTGTGTTCAAAGCTTTTATATAAGTACATGTAAACTGGAAAGCGCGATTACGTAATGTCGAAGGGTCATTGGATTTTATATATACACACTAAGCACTGCACATGTTCGGAAGACAGAAAGTTCTACCAAATTATAATTTAATTAAATCATTGTTATTTCGGTAGTTGTTACCCGATTATTATCATTAGCACCTTCAAAGTTTGGCTTCTCGGCGTGTCAGTCATCTATCGCCTCGAGGTAAACAATGCAATCAAGCATGGCGATTGACCTTGCAGACAATACCTGATTAGATTACCGTTTTATCTAAGTAATAAATTGTCGATGCATGCAATTGTCTTAATTCAAATGAGTAAATACTCCATTTCTTTTAATTGAAAATAGAAATGAAAGAAATTTTAACATTGTTCCAATGCGTCCCTGTGGTAGCAACACGTACCGCGGTAAAGTTAACGAATGTTTACTGATATACGAATAATGTGTTTCCGTGCTTGACTAACCAAAAAGTTAAATACGGGTGTGGATAAAAGAAAACAAAATATCACATTTATATATTTTACTGACAAGTGCAAGCACTAAAATTTATTTGCGCCAATGCATTCCCACTTGCGTTTGCGCTAAAATACGTATGCGCCAAATTTTATCGTTTTACAGTATTAATAAAGTATATAAAATATTAAAACTATAATCCAGGAAATTCAGAGTAGAAATCTTTCAAAGCAAAACATACACACAGTATATTGTCAGTCAGTGCACTTGTGATGAGCAGACTTTAACAATTGCATGAACACACCCATCGTCTCAAGCCACGGTCCCGAGTCTGCATATAGCTCTCTCCTACCCATGGCTGCTTGATCACAAAAAGTGTCATAATCTTGAATATTTACGCATCTCCATTGTGATGTCATATTCAGGCGATGACAAATTTTGTTTCCATCGCGATTAAAATCAACAATTTACATCCGTAGTGATTTCGTACACTGCAATTGGGTATTGAAAGGTCACATCAAAGTTCATTTTCCGACTATGCTTTACTCGCATTGGTCAATAATTTTATGAGCTATGAAATATTCTCTTCTCATGCAACCATGGCCAGAATGGGAGAGGATGGTACATTATGGCCGTGGTTTGCGACGATGGAACACACCCGGTGAATTGTAAACCTTAACAATAAAAGAGCTTTTGCCCTGTTTACAAAAACTGTATGTTTCATGAGTGTGTTCAATTTGCTAAACACTGTACACAACTCTAAGCATGGAATTTTGATACTTTGGAAGGGGTTTTGCTTTTGAACATTTCTACTATGAATATAATTATTTTTCTGGATTAAAGTTTTAATATTTTTTTATTAGTACACAACAAGATTGCCACTTTTCCTAAGTATTAAGAATAAAATTAAAATTTGTGAAAGTGCAATGATGTGTCAATCAAACCCATCCAAAAATTTGAAGTTTCAATAACTTTTAGATGAAGTAAGAATTTTAATATACATGTATTTTCGTGTGAAATGCTATTACAATGAAAATATTAACTTCAAATCTGTATCTATGCACCTTTAATTGATAAGTAATATTCAGTAAGGTTATGTTAAATTAAGACTAAGATGTATTCCTTGTGAGAAAACCTTCCTCTGGGTACAAACAATTTTGACTTTTGACCTTGGAGTTTAATTACTTGCATGGAGAAATTTCAACTTTAGCCATAAGCTTCCATGCAGGGGCATCAGTGTTTCACAAACACATCTTTTTTTGTCTGTTTGATGAGCCGAAGCTCAATGAGCTTTTCAGTAAAATTTGTCCGTTTGTCGTTGTTTGTCGTCGTTGTCGTTGTCGTCGTCATATTTTCACATATATAATTCTTCTCAAAAACTATTTTCAACCAAACTTGGCACAAAGTATTTTTAAGGGGATTCAAGAGTCATGAAGTTTTTCCAAGGGGATAATCTCAATTTGTTAAAAATTAATGGCATTTTTAAAAAATCCTTCTCCATAACCACTGGGCCAGGTTGATGAAACTCCTGCATGGAGTCCATCTCTTTTGATAATTCAAGTTTGTTCTCATGACAGTTGATTTTCTCAAAATGGAGAACTGATTTTTCAACTTTATAGGTGGTTACCAATTCATAAAAATCTGCCACAGCGCACTGGGCAGGGGTGTAATTCTTTGCCAGTGTTTTCACTTCAAAATCATTCTGATGTGTGTTTTTCCTAGCTACCAGTTTTAGAGTAGTTGCAAATATTTGCTTTAAAAATCTTCTTCTCCTGTAGCTCATGGTGGATTTATGCAGGTTGTATACAAAACAGATTGACACAGTGGGGCTCTTTTTCTTGTTTGCATGGTGAAAAATGTTACACAAAGTGACGTAATATGTTAAATAATATATTTATAAAATATATAAAATATTAAAACTATATATTTACAGAATAATTCAAATATAAAAATCCTTTCAGAAGCAAGGAAAGATACACACAGTATATTGTCAGTCTTTCAGTTGTGATCAAACTTTATGATTGGGCATGAACACACCCATCGTCTAAAGCCAATAAGGCATATATTGCTCTCTCCTAAACCAATAAAAATGTGGTCATCCTCAGGTAGTGAGATATTTACGCATCATCCATTGTGATGTCATATTCAGTCAATGACAAGTTTTGTTTATATAGAAATCAAAAATTAGTGATATCGTTAGTGATTGGGTATTCAAAGGTCACAAATCACATCAAATTCATAATGCTTTACTCGCAAAGGTCAATAATTTAATGAGCTATGAAATATTCTCTTCTCATGCAACCATGGCTAGAATACATCAAAGGATGGTACATCATGAGTGGTTTGTGACCAGAAGAATGAGAATGAAAGACCTGTTTTCATTTGGAAATTGTTTTACAATAAAATTTATGCCCTGTCTACAAAAACTGTGTTTTTGTGTGTGTGTGTGTGTGTGTCTGTGTGTGTGTGTGTGTGTGTAAAAAAAAACATGAACACATGTTGTGAGCTGGTTTAGATCTTATATATTTAGAAATAGAGTTGTCAAAGACCATATATGTTTTAATCATTGTCACAGTTTAGCCATGGGTTTTGTGTCCATTCTTTTTCCACGAATCCATTGTAGTCTACTACAAAAGTTCTTTTATTCTTGGGAAGGAATCACTAAATATATATCAAGTTTTGCAAGATTTATCTTGATCAATAAAATTATTTTGTGGCACTTTTAGGTATTTTTACACAGTGGCGCTAATAATCATGATAATGAAATCATGTTTGTTGTTCATGGAAAATTTATTGATAAAAATATGATAGATTATGAATAATAGAGGAGAGTTAAATTTATTCTAAATACTTTCAAAGCTAAAGCTTAGCATGAAAAACCTTTCTTGGAATGCAAATTGTCTGAATTTTGACTTTAAAATAAATAGATTTAATTACTTGATTTAGAAATTTGATGCTTTAGCTCTATGTAATGGGACATGCCATTCAAGGCATTGTTTTCAATAAAACAACTAAAAAAGTTTTGACATAATGCATTAGATTATTCATTTGCGTTGAATATATATTGCAATACACCAGATGAAAAGAATTTTGTGGATAACAGCCATGGTTTGTAGGAAAAAGATGTACAATCAAATCCCATTGCTTGCAAGAATAAAAACATGGTTAAAGAATGTTTTCATTTGGAAATTGTTTTACCAATAAAATTTATAACATACTTGTAACTCTATTTTTAGAATTGGCAAATTATGAGAAAAATGTCAACAGACAAATGCACAAATATAATGCCTATAGAAAGGCAGTGGGCGTACTGGCTAAACATCCAACACGAATTCAAAGTGGAGCAGAGGCCAAAAAGCTGGTAAGTTGTGTTTGTGTGTGTGTGTGTGTGTTTAAAAAAACACACATGAACACATGTGTGCTAGTTTAGATCTTATGCACTTAGAAATAGAATTGTCAAAGACCGGATATGTTTTAATCATTGTCACAATTTAGCCATTGGTTTGTATCCATTCTTTTTCCATGAATCCATTGTAGTCTTCTACAAAAGTTCTTTTATTTATGGGAAGGAATCACTAAATATATATCAAGTTTTGCAAGATTTATCTTGATCAATAGAATTATTTTGTGGCACTTTTAGGCATTTTTACATAGTGGCACTAATAATCATGATAATGACATCATGTTTTTGTTTGTGGAAGATTTATTGATAAAAGTATGATAGATTATGAAGAATAGAGGAGATTTAAATTTATTCTAAATACTTTCAAAGCCAAAGCTTAGCATGAAAATAAAAGGGCTTGGAATGCAGAATTGTCTGAATTAACTTTAAAATAAATAGCATCACTCGTTTTGACAAGGACTTTAGAACTAAAGTTGATGCTTAGCTCTATGTAATGGGACATCCAAATTCAAGGTAGACCAATTGTTTTCAACAGTAAAAACTAAAAAGTTTCTGACATAATGCATCAGAATATTTACGAGATTAAAAGAATTTTGATGGAAACAGCCATGGCTTTGTGGAAAAAGATTAAAATCAAATCCCATTGCTTGCAATAATTTGTATAAATACATCTAGGTTAAAGAAAAGTTTTAAGCTTGAATGTTCCATCTTTTACAAGATTCCCACAAGAACATATTTATTTTTTTCTTCAAAAGGATGGAATTGGTGAAAAGATTGCAAAGAAGATAGAAGAGTTTATAGATACTGGTTCATTAGTAAAATTAGAAAAAGTAAGTTTCTAAGGTTTATACATGTTTTTGGACTTCTGTAAGATAAACAGCAAATTGTATACAGTTTATGTTTTTACACTTTGAAAATTAAAATTTTTGTTAATTTTTCAAATGTTTTTTTTTTTTGCTTCTTTTTTGACAGATTAGGGCAGATGATACAAATGTAGCCATAAATGAACTTACCAAAGTGACAGGAATAGGGTAAAATCTTTATTTATCTTGTATTATATTGAACTTTGCTATTTATGATATTATTACTAATTACAGTGTAATTTATTTATTAGACGTTGGTTAATTGTGCATATGTCTTTATCTTTATTCATATTCTTAACTTCTTTTCTGGGTTTCAAAAATCTTAGGTTGAAGAGAATTCATGCTTGATGTTTCCAAAGGGAGATAAGATTGTGAAATTGGGATTGATTTTTGTAGTGAAATAAGGGATATGGTATAGCCACTAACAGATAAAAATAAGACTGTGTGCCCAGAGAATTCAAAGTACAGTACCTGACTTGTTTGTATCAATGTTTTACAGACCTGCAGCTGCTCAGAAATTGGTCCATGATGGAATTACATCGATAGAAGGTCAGTGCATAACTGGACTAGTACTGTATGTGTACTTATAAAAAGGGGGCTTTGTAATTTTAGCAGCTTTAACGCAGACAAGAATACTCGTATTCATGACTACCACATAGAAATCATTAAAAAAAATACAATGCATGCTGCGAACATGTACTGCTAATTTATCATACGCTAACAACTCCACTTGGTTATTGCACTAAATTTTTAAAACACCAATTTATGTACACATACAGTATTTGATGAAAATAGTTTTCTACATTAGTAATACTGATAAAGATTATTTATTGATGAAATTAGACTTTATTTATCATTAAAATCTGGAGGAAAAAAATTTTATTGAAACTTGCAGATTTTAAGTTCATTATTTGCTTTGAATTTCAGAGTTGAGAAAGCATACAGATAAATTGAATCATCACCAGCAAATTGGATTGAAGTAAGTTTCACTCTTACTTTTAAAATAACTGCACTCTTCTTCCTTGGTGGTGCATTACAGTGTACTGTAAAATATCATTTGCTGTAAAATTGATAGATGATTTTCACTGTTTTGTGATTGAGACCTTAGGTCATATAACACCTTATATATTTAATTTACAGACATTTTGAAGACTTTGAGAAGAGAATTCCCCGAACTGAGGTGGAGCAGATTCAGGTAAGCACAGCTGTACCTCATTATCTGGAACACTGACATATCGAATACCTGGGGTGTATCAGAGTGTGTTTGAACTTCCAACTAATAACAAATATATTTTTAACCCTGGTTATCTCAATTCATGGGATATCTTTAAGTTTAATTCAGTGCCATTGATTTTGAGAGAATAAGGTTTTTCTGTATATTATTAAAGTGGATTTATTTTGGATGTTGAAAGACCCCCCCCCCCCCTTCTGAATTTTGATCTATAATATGTAAGCATTTACCTGTATCTGAACTTGGTAGGTTTAAATTTTGAATTTCATTGGTGCCAACTTTTTCTAAGCCAATTCCTCTAAAAGTTTAGTACATATCATACTTTCACAACTGTGCGTGTAACACATTATGCATGTATATTTATTCCTTTATTTATGTTTAAGTATGGGCATTTTCATTTTGATTTTTTTTCATTGTTGAATAGGACACTGCCTTTAATGAGATAAGAAAGTTAGATGATAAGTTTGAAGCCAGGGTTTGTGGCAGCTTCAGAAGAGGTAGGTGAACATGCACTATATCTTGTCAGAGTTGTTAGAAGAGACAGGTTTGCTAATACATGTACTAATATTGATTTACTACAGGTGCTGAGTCCAGTGGTGACATAGATATTCTACTTACTCACCCAGATTACACATCTAAAACCAAAGGAAAGGTGAGAGAAAAACACCTAACAACTCCTATTCAATTCAGCTTATTGTTGAAGTTTATCTTCTTTACATCCCCTGGGAATAAATCCTTTATATAAATGTAAACTCTATTAGTAAGACATTTTATTTGGAAATTTACTTGGGTGATATATAAAATATTAGATGAATAATAAGATACATGTATTCCTATTTTCAGCCAGATTTGCTCCATCAGGTTGTAAAGAGACTGGAAAAAATAGGACTAATCACTGACACATTGTCACATGGTGACTTCAAGTACATGGTAACTAACTTTTTATTTTTGCCAAGTAGTCATTTTATATCTTAGTAAGTCTCTAACTAGTGCTGGGTATCGCGACGGAAAAATCGTATTGGGATATATTGCAATATTATATTTTGTATTGCAATATATCACGATATAAATATTTAATAATTTTTTGCTTTTCGTGAAGGTTAAATGAAAACACAAACTCAAATTACATGTATTTTCTCGAGTTGATATTCCAATTGCCTGATCGTGTTATGTCAGCGCAAGTGGCAAGATAAGTTTTTTTGTTGGCACAACTTGTTGAATTTAATTAATTGTGATACTCAGATTCAGCTTTAATATGAAGAGGTTTCATATAACAGTTGTCGTCATTTCGTTTTTGAAAGAGACATGTCTCTGGTTTCTGATCACACTTCATGTCGCTTGCCGCCATATTTTACCTTGAAAAGGGCAAATAACTCTTTTTGTAACAATTTATAGCATATCGACCCTGAACCGGTATTCACAAAAAAATACCGCAATACGTATTGTGAAGAACGAAATCGGGATACACCGGTTAACCGGTAATATCGCACAGCACTATCTCTAACAATCATGCTCTAAATAGAGATTGGTTACATATCACAAGTTTTAATGATCAGCACTTTCATATATAGATTGTTCACTTATGTTCCAGTCAGTTTCCTATTAAATTAATTAGGGTTGTAGACCTATGATAAAAGGTTAGGAGAGTTAATATAAGTAAGGGAAAAGATCATTTGTTGTATCCCTAAATTTTACGGGAGTTTGTCGAGTGTTAGATTCTGATTTTAAATTTTACAGGGAGTTTGTCAAGTGATAGATTCTGATTTTAAATTTTACAGGGAGTTTGTCAAGTGTTAGATTCTGATTTTAAATTTTACAGGGAGTTTGTCGAGTGTTAGATTCTGGTTCCAGCCCTAGTTCTTCCAAACAGAAGCCATTCAGGAGAATTGATATCAGGTAACACAAGCCTTGAGTGGCCAGTTAATGTCAGTTGAATTATGCGGAAAATATTATTTTCTGGAAAAAAATTATTATAAACACTTCATTTGTTGAATTAAGTAAAGATCTTTAAACTGAATTTAGAAAAAAAATAAAATTCAGAACAATTTATGGAAGATATAAAATATAAAATGTCATTTTTTTCAAAATTGTATTTTGTTTGAAAGCATTTTAGATATAGTGCACCTGGAGGTAGCCATTGCTTAGACATTTTATTGCTTGATTCAAGGATAAAGTCACACCCTTCCCCTTTACTAGTTCTCTAAACATGTAGGAGTTCAGTATTTGATACATGTTTATAATTTTTACAATACAGGTTGATTCCCCATGACCAGTACTACTGTGCATTGCTATACTTCACTGGAAGTGACATTTTTAATAAGAATATGAGGGCCCATGCCCTGGAAGTGGGGTTCACATTAAACGAGTATACTCTGAGACCTCTGGGTAGCACAGGTAAGGCTTGCAAGTCACTTCAAATGTGTGACAGAACAGCTGTAAACCTCTCGCTACAACTATTTCTTCTGACGGTTTTGTCGTTCAAAAATCAGGCACGTAGCAACAGGGGGGGCCTGGCCCCTCCACTTTTTTCCCCCAACATTACTTTTACTGTAGGAAATGTTCATTGCATGGTCCCCCCCCCCCCCCCCCCCCCCCCCCTTGTCAACTTTTTTCAAGTAAGTAAAAAAAAAATTTCTCTGGTTGCCCCCCCCCCCCTTTTCAAAAACGATTCTGCGTGGCTGAATATATATTAAACTGCTATTTCCCTCAGCAAATTATCCAGTATTTATTTCAAGTAATTTTATTTTCAAAAAATGAAATTAAAATGATTAATATGCTCCTCTGCAGCATCCAACCTTCCCAGGTTATCTTTCCTTGGTGTGCTGCAAGTGAGGGAAAGATGCTTTATAGTAAATGAAAACAAATGATTCTTTTTTGGATACAATAACTTCAGTTGAGTGTGGTTTTGTAGGAACACCTGGGGAACCCTTGCCAGTAACATCAGAGGAAGACATTTTTGACTACCTAGGGATGGAATACAAGAATCCATCACAGAGGATCTCCTAGTCTATTTAGCCCAATCATCAACTCAAACAATGCATCAATGAGGCCAATTATCCAATTCAATCACTGCCTTATAAAACAGTTATAACCTTGGTTGATGAATTTTCTTCTCATGTTTTAAAATGTTTTGTGTTGTAGAAGAGTTATGAATGTCTTAAATGTTCACTTGTATTCAATTGTGTGTTAGTTGCGAGTTCATGTATTGCAAGTTACTTTTATAATTATATATTATTCACTGCTCGTTTGATGCCAAGAACATTGTATTTTTCCTGTTGATTGTTTACAATACATCTACATTGTTTGATGTCGTGTCTGAGACAAGAATTCCCACTGACGTCCAATTTATTCATGTCCATACTTTGATCTGGCAGCTATTAAATTGTTCACTGTTTATTTAATTTTATAGCAGATTCATCTAACTTAACATTATTGCAAGTACATCAGATGCAATTGTCAAAATTGACAGGTTAACAGGTTGGGCACAGCCTACCAAATGGTACTTTATCCCCCGTTTGGTAGATAATCTACCATATCGGTAACGAATTTTACTAACCAAATGGGGGACAAAATTGATTGTGTTTAATTCCATAGAGTGGAGTGGAATTTCGCATAATTTTAAACCATGTGGAATAAACTATAGTTATTTATCGGTGTTCTGGGTGAAAAAAATCAAAAATTCTATGTGCAATTTTTTGCGCAGAGTCGTTCAAAAATTTGACATAAAACGTAGCTTATGTAAACAAGTGCAATGTTTCTCCATTTTTTACTTTAAAAGAAAATTCTCTCCTTCTCCAACGATGCTGCACCTGTCAATCATGTCCTTTACTTTCTATTTCGATTATCCGGGCAACCAATCAATTAGTGCAAACCAATCAAAACGATGATCTTTTTTAAACCTGGTGAAAAGTCGGATTTAACTACGGAGGCACATTCGTGTTAATTTTCAACTAGGAAATCAGAAGAAAAATAAGTTTTGCCTTTATTTCTCTTTATTTTGATCACAATGGCTTTGTTCTTCATAAAAATAGTAAATGCAGTTGGAGTATGACATAATTATTGTTTTAAAACGATGTACTTGGAACAAAAACAAGAATCATGGCAAAAGTCATTTTGTACATCTTTTATTGAGTATTATTTTTCGAATTTATTAAATTCACCAGTAATATGCATATTAAACCCCAAAAGATCGCATGGAATCTGCAACTTCATCCTAAAAGAAAAATAACAACAAGTATTACGTACAACTCTGGAAAAAATTAACTTTATAGCAGGAAGTGCCCACCATACCGGTAAGGCATGAGAAGCTCGTGTTTAACAGAATTTTATGGAGATAAACATTGACGAAGATCCAAAAAGAGATTGAAAGTTAACTCATTAAGAGTTAAATCACTAGAAAAAATTGGATTTTTATCCAACAAGACACAATAAAGATTTTTTTTTTGATCGTTTGATCAAGAAGTTCGGCTGTTAAAGACAACTATGGGTATTGTTTTTACGAAGTTACGGAGAAATTACACATAGAAATTCGACCGATTTATGTTAATTGTACGAGGAATGTGTTCACTAAAATCCCCCAATGCCTGAATAAATGCGCTTTTGTTTTATTTTAATAAGAATTGCAATAGAATAAAAAAGTCCCCCATTTGGTTAGTAAAATTCGTTACCAATATGGTAGATTATCTACCAAACGGGGGATAAAGTACCATTTGGTAGGCTGTGCCCAACCTGGTTAACCTCTGTTTATATTGAAAATATAATTTCAAGTTATATAAGAAGGAAATGATAGTATTCTTTCACAAACATATAACAAAAAATGTATTGGTTTGGGAATGAAATACTCGTAAGGTTTATTGTTGTAGTTCATCTATTTTAGTAATTTGTAGACTATAATTAGCACATATACCCTGCTGTATGTTTAGTTGTTTTACCACAAAAAATTATACATTGTTCCAGCATCCAAGTTACAACAGCCATAATGTGTTCTTTTATAAATCTGCAAAGCATATTTGATAAATTGTAGTTCATATATAATGTGATCCATGATATAGAAATAAAAGTTCTATAAATATTATGCAAAGTATGTCTCATTTATGTATTGATTTGTTTCCAAGAAATGTGCCTTCCTTTTTGTAATGAATGTATTGGCTTAACAAGTGGACATAACTCTTGTCAGGAGAATTAATTGTTCATGATCCACCCTACTCCTACTTAATAAAAAGAGCCTCAGTTAACTGCCCTATGCTCCCTAAATACAACAAACCAAAATAATCTCACTGTGACCCTCTAGCATGCTGGAGTAGTTCCACCCAAGAATGAGTCACATTCAGTACATGTACACAATAAACAGGATTACTGATCCTGGGATTTATCTGTCCTTAATGGATTTTCAGACCAGTTTCAATTATCATTTCAACAAAATATACATTACATATTGAAATATGAATAGCATTTGGGAAAAACGGGATAAATGCACTGAAAATTAATTATCCAAAATGTGAAAGCTTCATTGCACAGACACCTCACCTGGGTAGAATGATCAAGCCTTTTCGAGTATACATTTTTAGTGAATCAAAATAGAATGGTCAGCCATATGTTGATATTAATTTCTCAGAAATATTGTAAAGCAAGATACATGCATTTATGTGTTGAGTTTGTTGTTTAAGAGTTCCCTTTAATTTGACAAAAAATGTCAATGGCAATTAACTGGTGTTCAACCATTTTCTAAAAGATTTAAACCCCAAAATTTTCTGGGAAAATTACAACTTAAATTTTTGATACACCAGACTTTAGTGAACAGGAAGACTTCGACGTTCACAAACATTTGCTTATGTTTTCATTGTTATCCAAACAGGGCTACATTCTTTTGTAGTGTGGCGGTCAGCCGGGTTCGATCGCCGGTGGCCAGATAGCTCAGTTGGCAGAGCACCTGACCAGAGTTTCAGGGGGCCCGGGTTCGAATCCCGGTCTGGTCCCCTGCATTTTCTCCTCTCCCGTTACAGTTGGTGCCGTGCAATGCCCTGGAACTGACAGGTGAGAGGCCTGCCAGGGATGAGCCTGGGTTGGGGTCTTTGGAGGGCCAAAGACCTTTGAGGAGGGAGGAATGTGGCGGTCAGCCGGGTTCGATCGCCGGTGGCCAGATAGCTCAGTTGGTAGAGCACCTGACCAGAGTTGAGGGGGCCCGGGATCGAATCCCGGTCTGGTCCACTGCATTTTCTCCTCTCCCGTTACAGTAGTTAAGCTAATATGGCTGCACCTTTTCCCGATTTCAAATTTTCTACGGTGATAATGGTCATTCCCTGAATAATTCTTCATTATCTCTAGCCACATCATTTGAATCTGTGCACTTATTTCAACATACTCTTTTACCATCCATAATAGCCTTAACAAGAGGCCCACATTGCTCACCTGAGAAGCTTTGACCATGCTGTTCTTTACCAGATTTCTCCCTTGTAATACATTTTGTGACCTCACCCTACCCCCGAAGGTCATGATTTGAACAATTTAGAATCTACACTACCCCAGGATGCTTCCACATAAGTTTCAGCTTTTCTGGCCCATTTGTTCTTGAGAAGAAGATTTTCAAAGATTTTTCCTATATATTTCTATGTAAAACTTTGATTCCCTATTGTGGCCCCGCTTTACCCCGGGGGTCATGATTTTTACAATTTAATATCTACACTACCCAAGGATGCTTCCACATAAGTTTCAGCTTTCCTGTCCCAGTGGTTCTTGAGAAGAAGATTTTTAAAGATTTGTTCTATATATTTCTATGTAAAATTTGGATTTCCTATTGTGGCCCCGCCCTGCCCCCGGGGGTCATGATTTTAACAATTTAATATCTACACTACCCCATGATGCTTCCACATAAGTTTCAGCTTTCCTGGCCCAGTGGTTCTTGAGAAGAAGATTTTTAAAGATTTGTTCTATATATTTCTATGTAAAATTTGGATTTCCTATTGTGGCCCCGCCCTGCCCCCGGGGGTCATGATTTTAACAATTTAATATCTACACTACCCCATTATGCTTCCACATAAGTTTCAGCTTTCCTGGCCCAGTGGTTCTTGAGAAGAAGATTTTTAAAGATTTGTTCTACATATTTCTAATATGTAAAACTTGGATTCCCTATTGTGGCCTCGCCCTACCCCTGGGGGTCATGATTTTAACAATTTAATATCTACACTACCCAAGGATGCTTCCACATAAGTTTCAGCTTTCCTGGCCCAGTGGTTCTTGAGATTTTTTAACGACCCCACCCTATTTTTGTCTTTTCTTGATTATCTCCCCTTGTAAGGGGACCTGGCCCTTCATTTTAACAATTTAAACTCCCCTTCACCCAAGGATGCTTTGTACCAAGTTTGGTCAAAATTGGCCCAGTGGTCGAAAATGTGAAAAGTTTACAGACGGATGGACAGACGGACGACGGACAAAATGTGATCAGAAAAGCTCACTTGAGCCTTCGGCTCAGGTGAGCTAAAAACCATATATTAAAGAGAAAGAAAATTTGAAAACTTTTTAAAATTATTTAATAACGACAAATCAATAATGACTTTTGTTTACAGAGAAAACTCCTGCATAATCCACGGTGATAACTTTCTGGAATCTGCTGCCCTATTTCCTTTTTCGTTTTATTTAATTCGTAGACGATATCGCTCCATGTGGAATGTTGCCCAGATCTTGACAACTCAGCATGTCTGACACGAGGCCGGACAAAATCTTAACAAAATATGCACCAAAAAATCCTGTAACAAAACTAGGTCTGAGTTTATAAAACTTAGTTCAACAAAATCCTTAGATCCTAAGTAAATCAGGATGTTAAAAAAATTGAGATCATACAAACAGTTATTCACTGTCCATGTATGTCTGTAGTCTTAACAAACATAAAATGGTCACTTTGATGATCCACGATTTAAATGCAATATTCCATGTATTTCTTAGAACACAAAAATATCTGAAATCACATAATTTGCTTCTAGATTATTAGTTCTCATTTACAGGTCCAAGTATTTCTTTTTTCAATCAATTTGTTTCTTCCACCAAAATGTTTCTAATTACTGATGGTTCACAAAATTGGCACCAAAGTTAGGAAGATGTCCAAAATACTTGAATTTCAGGACGGAAAATCTGCATGAAGCTTGAGAATGTATAAAACTGTTTCTGTCAATCATTTTACATTACCGAATAATTTACAATACCTCACTGTTTCAACCTTAATAAAACAAATTTATTTTAAGATCAAAATACATCAATACAAATGTACAAATACTGTACAAAGTTTTGCAAAATCAACATACTGAACGTGTTCTTATTAAATCTGCATGACGAAATAAAAAACCTGCCGACATTAGTAATGCAAAAAATCAATCTTTCATCTAAAATAATCTCTTTGGCTGTTCAGACTTAAACTTTTGCTTTCCTCAACCAGTCTTTTTTCCAAACCTGACTTAATAGCACCCGAAATAAGATAAC